CGTTTGCCACCTTATGTTATAAAAATAAATACGACTTAACGAATAACTTTCCATTTTCCGAATAATAGACCAAAAAAGACTGCAATGGTTCGTCCTTATTGAGTAAATTTATTTTTATACCAGATACGGGATTGACGCGAGTTGAAACGCTAAAAGAAAAGCTAGCAGAGGAATTCAAAAGTCCTCTAAGGGATGAACATCTGGTAACTTATTGATTTTTCACATGGTAGAAACAGAAGTACTTAGCTACTTTTAAAGATTAAAATATTTTGTGCGGCTGATAGGAGCGGACACCGAACCTAATGTTCTAAAGTGCCAGGTGTAAAATCTTTCTCGTAGCGTGGAGTAAATGTAAGAGTAAGCTTATTGGTTGATAGTTCTATTAACTTGTTTTATCCAGACCTGCCTGCGTTACATCGTAGCGGCGCGGCTGCACTACAGCGAGGTGTACTGCAAGGTTTACGGGCTGTCGCAGGAGTTTGAAGATATCGTGGAGGACTTCTCAGTATTTGACGGCACCCTGGAGGACGGCTTCATCCAATTCGTGCAGGACAACCGCTTTACTGTGCGCCAAGCGCTGACATGGTAGCTTTCGCATTTGAAAAATCATGGAATCAATGTGCTGCTCCTTTTTTACGCGCGCTCGGTACTACAAAGACTGTTGCGTGATAAATTTTAGAGTAAGTATTGTGTAACGAGCTACATAGTTTACCGTGAATTTCCACTGTGGTAACACCTAGAGGGATGACAATATATTTTTATACAATTGTTTCGACAGTGAAAACCAACATGCTACGTTCAACGATCTGGTCACAGTACTTGTAGTAATATTATGTAAGGTGATACTAATGTCGCTTTTTTGAAGCAGCATTATTTGAGAATGACTAATCTTATAACGTTTATTTGATGCAAAAATAAATTATGTCTATAGCTTCAGTACATTTTATTTATTAAAAAAAATCACAATCACTGATTCGCTTTGACAAGTGCTTACATGAAAACCTATTATATAACAGTTATTAATTACCCGAAGCTTGGTTCCCCATGCGGGTTTAAGAATTTTTCGAAGTCAATCAATACTTCATTGACGCAGCAAGGTCTTGGAGGGTGCTTGCAGTCCTTTTCGCATGCCAATTTGCTTATGAACCGATTGGCATTACCGCCGAAACCGGAGTACACAAACCTTCTGCAGCGACTTCGCACGCTGTCGTAATACCATCTGAAAAACACGAAAAGTGTCTGTATCGATATAAAATGTGACGATAAATGTAGTAGTTACCATTTTTTGTTAGGGGTCTAGAGCGGTCACCCCTACTTCACAAACGTCTGCGTTTAATATATCTAATAGAAAATCTACAGTTTTATATTAGAAATAAATTTTGTTATTCAAGATAAATTATAATCGCGACATCTATTTTATTTATTTACCAGTTGTCGCCTGCAAACTTCGTTAGCGCAAATTTGGACCACCCGTTACGCCATTTTGATTACTCTGAACAAACGCTTCTTGCGGACAGACAAATTTAACAATGTTTTGTTTAACAACGTAATTACTTAATGATGGTTTCTTAACTTATGATCATTGGTACCAAGTATTAGATATTTGAAGAAAGGTGCAATTCAAACCTACAGTTATAAAATCAATGAGCTAAGAAACGGTTCACCAACATCCTTCGTCTTGATTTCAATCAAGAAATCTGAATATCACCTAGAAATTAGTAATCGGATCCTTTTCCTTTAACAAGCCTTACCGTAAATACCACATTGTTTTACCAGTTCCTCTATCATGTGGATCCAGACAATATGCAGCTTGGCCAACGTAATTATTAACCTTAGACTTTGCTGGTGGATCCTGCCCAGGAAAACCAGGCCCAACATCTGTAAAAAAGCTGGGTAAATGTAGTCATATGGTCCACGAAGAGCGAAATTACTCCAGTTTGGCCATTACCTGAGATGATGACCCTATCTACAGCTTACTTGTATTTTGGTAAGTGGCCAAAAAAAATTTGGTTACCATGGGCGTTACAATTAGTAGGTACGGAGGCAGCTACCTTCCCCTCCTAGAGGATCGACAAATGTAAAATAGAATTAAAAACTACATCGAATACGACCGTATCAATGGTAGCTACCCCCTCTAGGTTGGCCCTATATCAACTGCTGGCAACGTCCATGGTGGATACATTGGTTGAAATAGAAATGTTGTCATACGCATCCATCTACTGGGAAATCCTGGTGCATCTTTTATACGGTCTTCTTCTGAATCATAGGCTGCCGTTTTGTTCTGCTTGATCTCTCTCGTTCCTAATAAATTAACAAACCCGGTCCAATCTTCGTTATATGGCGGCAAATCCCATTTTTCCCAGTCCCTCTCCCCCGGCGGTTTAGTCACCCCGGTGGACATGACGGGCCTTCTGCAGGCCTCAATTGGTTTTACTACATAAATAATTACAAATATCGAGACAAGCTTCATGGTAAATTGTTCATAATCGTAATGATTCGAAACGTTTATCTGAGTTCGATTTGTCAATTAGTAATGCATAAGTTTAATCAAGATTTTAGTTATGTGTAATTTAATTGGAGGAATGATAGGTAATATGACATGAAATTATACTTAGTTTGAATATGGATGCAAGCAGAGAATAATTTAGATAGTATAGAATATCCTTGTCTTGTTAATAAAAAGTGTAACTTTTCCTGTTCTATTTTGTTCTGGTGCAGGGATGAGCATTGAGGACCAAAAGGCGACGGTGACGACTCACTCTTTGCACGCATTCATCGTTAAAATGTTTCACCTACTCTTTGATGTTAATGTCAAAATGCAAATGTCATTGTCATTTGTGATCATTGTCAAATGGTAATGTTTTGTCAAAAGCAAAATGTCAAATGTGTAGGTGAAAGAGTGAGTGCAGAAGTAAAAGCTGTGTTTCAGTAATTAATTATAGGTTTTTATATAGTCCTAATAGACTAACTGTTAATCCTGTTTATTTAGAAACATTGCCTTGATAAATAAAGCTCATTAAATTTCACTTAAATACATGTTTAGTAGATTTTCGACTATAAAGATTTTATGATTTTTACGAAGGAATTTTTAAACAGGGACAATTGACTTTGAAATAAATACTGCCTAACTACACGTGGGCATTAAAAATAAGTGTGATAAACATGATTACAATTGTGTTGAAATGAAAGAAGTTGGTGATAGAAAAATGAGCGGTATTCTAAAGGTGTTGATGCTTAAGCATCTGGTTGTGAGGATGCGAAGGTTCATCAGCACAGCTGTGGAACTCATCTCCCCCGCTGTCTTCTTCATTCTGCTTTATGTATTCAAGGATTATATTAATCAGCCAGTACATATGTACACTCAAAATTCCGTCAATGTATATAAGCCCGTAAGTTTATTAATTATTATACTAATGTTATGTTAATGTTAATGTATTATGAGAAATATCAATTAGTAAATATTCTTTGCTTGCATAATTCAGAACATGAGTAGTGGTACGCTATTTATTTTTATGTGTGGAAAAGTAACACATTTTAGAAAACCATATGTGGTACTTTTATTTGATCAAAAGTGTTATTAACAAGTTTTAATCTTTATCTGATAAATAGGCTTACTCCACTTGACTAAAAAATTTATACAGGCCAAAAGTTACTTAAATTTATTAATACATTAATTTAGTCTGAAAGTATGTGAAGAAACAAGTTATAATACAATTTTATTGAATTAACAACAATCAAATTGTTTAGACACAACAATGAGATAGATTTGTTGAATACAAAAACATAGCTATATTGTTTTTTCCGAAACATTGTGTTCTCAGTCTTATTAACTTCCTTCTTACACGTAGAAAAAATTACCATTGTGGAAAAATTGAAAGAGACATAAGTATTACCAGGCGATGCTTAGGCAGCTGCCTACCCCTAAAGACTTCAAAAATAGCAAATAGATATGAAAACTACTGAATGTGGCAATTTTCATGGTAGCTGTCACTCCTAAACCTAGTTTTGATTATTGGTTATGTACATATGGAATTCTAAAAACATATTGGTTTTCGAACTGAATTCAAACCCAGAACATGTAGATTGTAAGCCAATTGCTTAAACCCCAGAGCCAATGATGGCACACAAATCGGCAAGGCTTTATTAAAGTCTAAAACTACTTTTCCTAGACTTGGAAGAATACTTGCATGATTTTTCAATGCCAATTTGGCATATATCCATTACTACTGCAAAACCATTTGTAATGTTTATTTTCATATTACCCTCAATTTAGTATGTAAACTACTGTTATAGTCAAATAGAACTACAATTTTTTTTTATGAATGAGAGCTTTTCTTAGTTAACTTAATCTATGTATATTCTAGTTTTTCCCCTTGACTCCATCTGCATGGAATTAAAAAAAAAACATGAATAGCCTAAGTGTTCTCCAAGACTATTCTCTATGGCTATGCCAAATTACATTGCCATTAGTTCAGCTGTTTAGGCTACAAACTCTAACAAAGTTCCATCCATCGAAACTTTCGCTTTTATAATATTAGTAAGACAAGCAAGCAAAGAGTATTGTTAGCTCAGAATTTCTGGTTTTGGCCCTTGACTTATAAACTGCAGGTCCTGGGTTTATTTAAATCCCATTATGTAATATTGTGTTTTTCGAATTTTGTATGTATATTACTTGATATTGTTACAGTGAATAAAAAGATTGTGAATCTATGATTTACTGCAAACATTGCAACTTGAGTAAAATATACAAAAAATACTAAGCATTGTTGCAATTACTTGTAATTAATTATATTGAAGGCCACAAAAATACATAGTGAAATCTTTAGCACCTAACATTTATTACAAAATCCTTATCAGAATATTGTTAATGAATTTAACAAAATACAATTTATAAACTTAAAAATCAAGGTAAAAAATTGCTTTCACAGGAGCCACTGCCCCTAGACAGCATTAAGGGGCCACAGCTGTTATTCTACACTCCAGACAACAACCTCACAGGCCAGCTTATGGATAAAGTTGCCCGAAAACTAGGATTGTCCCGTCTTAAGAATTTTCCTAGTAAGTATTTTGTCAACAATTTAAACCTTTTTAACATAGCTACCAAAACTCTCAGTTCAGATGCTCATAGGATTTCTCAGAACATAATTTAATGTAAAGTTAATAAATAATAAATAAATCCTTTTTTATTTCACTTTAAAAATATACACATTTCATGAGAGCCTTGGCTCCTGCACTAGGTTCCCCTATGCTGCAGGAGCCAATCCCTTTCCCCATTTGTAAAGAGCAATACATATTCATAAGTGTAAATAGGTAAAGATTACCTTTAATAGTATAAAACTCAATAAAAACACAATCTGTCGCCCGCATCTTATAAAATGACTGGTAGCCTGTCTTCTAAATATGTCATCTATGCCCAATTTCATAGATATCTGTTAAGTTATTCTGGATATATGTAGTAACAAATATCCATCTATTTAAACATTCGGATTTACGTAAATTGAACATGAAAAAATCAGTCTCCTAACCTAACACATTAATACATGAATGTTTTCTTTCTCTCCAGTTACCTTAAAAGGTAGCGGGTACTACCCCATACAAGATGAGGCAGATCTCAACGACTACCTTAACAATATTGATGATCACCAAGCGCTCGTCGTATTTCAGGTATCTATAAGAAGGAGCTTAAAATATAACAACCAAAACCAAAGATTCTGGCTGAAAACCATATAATAGCCAATAGACTAAAAGCTTGTGGTACAAACTACCGATCTTGTGGTCGAGGGTTCTAATCCCGCTATTCGACTATTGTGAACCATATCCTAGAGCAAGCCTACATTGTAGTTAGTTAAAGGAAATATTAATAAATTAACAAAAACCTACTTTAATTAAAAATAATAATACAAGTGTTGCAGTTTTATGTTGTTCTGTAATTTTGACTTTATTCATCATCCGATCGATAATGCAACGAATAGAAATACACTCTATTGCCAAGACATAAGATTCAAATTACTGTTATCTCTTTAGAAGTATTATTACAATGGTAGTCAAAACATTTGTGTATTGTTTAGTTTACATTGTGTGCTTGTTATTGACTAAATTTTATTTTATAAACATATCACTGACGGTGACCTCATAAAATAGCACTTCCCATCGGGAAAAGATATAAATAGCTTCTAAAAATATAGTTTTTTTTATAGCCAATGTTACTCAAGGATAATGTTAAAATATTGACGGGTGAAAGGCTATTTATTGCAATCGCCATTTTAGGGGATAATGACTTACATGTAATATATCCAGAATATGTGATTTTTTCTGCGTCGTTAATAAATAATGAAGTATGCAGAACTATAGTAATTTTAATCTAAAACCCGTCTGAAAATCTTTCAATTTAAATTGTTTCCAGAATTTGTTTTTATGCTTTTTTTTAAATTTTAAATATCTCTCCTGAACATTTAACCTAATGGCGCTTAAAACACGCCTTTCACCCATCGATATAATTATTGAATTTGACCAAAAAGTTTTAAAGCTATTTGGTTACAATATCGAACTTTTTTTATAAGTTTTCTTTTAATACCAACCACAATTTAACCTGATATCCAAGGATCATCTTTATTCGCATTACTGTTCAACATCATTTTAATATTTCATTTTGAATTGCACGCATCATTAACTAATTTAATAATTTAAATTTTCGTACAGCCATTTTATATTGCACCCTATTGTTGTAAACGACTGTTACTTAAGGTAGAATTCCAGTTTACCTGCTAGTACTTAAGTTGCATGTAACCCTACCGTTACCAATAATACATTCGCTCAATGAAATGTAGCATGACCTTTATGACAGCGTTTCAAACATAAAGTTGTCTTACACAGAAATGGATCCAGTAGCGAACTTATCGTATGTTTCTCAGAACAGACAGTTACTCAAGAATATCGAATACTGCTCTCACTGTTGGCACAATTATAATAAAACATACGACGCTCTCTCTCGTTCTATATGAATAAATTGAGTGAACAATATATCTTTGATTCAATGTTTCGGCAGTGGAAACTAACCCTAGTAAACATCCGCGATCAATTGTTTCTGCGAACCGATGCTTGGCTTCTATGTCATCCTTGCGGTTATGGATCTGCTTCACTGAACTTGCAGGCCAATGTAAAATGAACCTAATGGTCCTGATTATAATATCTATATTACTGTTTTTGTGTATCACATAACCGTGTTGTGTAGACTTATAAGACAGAGGTAATGAAATTTTATGCAAATTTTAATTCGATTTTCTGAATTAATTTATGGATTTATTGCCTTTTTTCTCATAACTTTGACTTAACATGATTTAAATTATACTTATATTAATAGAAGGCTTATTAATATTTGTCTTTTTTTTAGAACATGACGGGGGAATGGCCTAAACTCCTCAACTACACCATTCGTATGAAAAAAGATTTTATGACACACATATACAATCCGCTCGATGATAGTATGGAACCTCATCAAGCATTCGGTGAGTGTTTTGCCCTCATGTAAAATGCTGACACGGAAATTGGCTCAAACATTATCCGATATTAGTCACAAATATGATGAACTACCTTACGCCCGCGATTCCGTCCACGTGGAATTACAAAAAACAAAATTGTGTAGCCTATGTCTTCTTTCAGATTATTATCTACGTTTTTACCAAATTTAAAGGAAATCCGTTCAGCCGTTTAGACTACAAACTCTAACAAACATCCATCTAAACTTTCGCATTTATAATTTTAGTATGATTGATGCAGCACTCAGAGTCTTTAAGTGAAACACTAGAAGTCCTTCGGTGTAAATTTTTATTAAATCTACACTAAGGGATATAATATTAAGTAGATTTTTTATGAAATATCGTTCTCCAAACTTCTACAGCAGTTTTGGCTAAAACTGCATCCATAAATATTTTTATAAAATAACACACATAAAAAAAAATAAAAAAAAACATACAGACGAATTGAGTACCTCCTTCTTTTGGGAAGTCGGTCAATTAATGAGATCGTGTAATTACGTGTTTATTAGTAGTTTTTTAATATCTTTGTTGTGTTTTTTTTCTCTTATTCCAAATTGTGTTGTAGTGATGATAAGATTAAATGTTATATTTTATTTTATTTTATATTATATTGTTTTGCTATATTTTATTTTATTTTATTCTATTTATTTATTTAATCATTTCAGGGTTAATATACGAGACATTTATGCATCTACAATGGGCGATAGACACGAGCTATTTGCAATTGATGGGGGTCGATGTCAAACAAGTAAGTTACATAAAGAAATTAACACATGAAACGAGTTTAACTTCAGAACTACACTGAACTGTGGCTTTCAATCTCTTTCACAAATGAGAATAGCAGTATTTATAAATAAAATTTTGCAAAGGAATATAAACGCCAATAGTCTCATGGTTAAAAGTACGAATTTGCGATCACGTGGTCGAGGGTTCGAATCCCCCCTATGCCTAGAGTTTATCTAAACGGTACAAGAAATATAAGTAAACTAACCTTCGCACGCGACTCCGTATGCATGGTATTTAAAAAAAGTAAGTAGCGTATATGTTCTTCCAGACTATCCTCTACATCTATGGTAAACATCGAGATCCGTTCAACCATTGAACTCTAACACCTGTTTATGTAAATTTTTGCATGCATGAGATTAATGAAATTTTGTAAATATGAAAAAAATCAAACCGGCGACATTACATGTTCTAGAATGTGACCCTGCAAGAGTTTCCTTTCGTGAAGACGAACACCAACATGAACATGGTGATCGGTGTGCTGGTGAAGGCGTTGATGGTGCTGTGCTGGCTGTCCTTGCTGCTGGTCTTCGTGTTCCTCATGGCGAGACTGCTGGATGAACGGACTACTGGTATTGAGGTATTTACTTCTATAGTAATGTATAAAACGTAAACACACAATCACTGCATGTTTTGGAATAATACTTTTTTTAATAAAACGCCTACACTTACGACACGCTATAGGCTATATATTCGCGTTATTTAATTTAGAACATAAATAATTTGGAAGAAATTGTCATGTGAGAAAGGGACAAAAACTATGAGCCAATAGCAGTAAAGAAGCAAGATTGCCAAGGTTACGGTAATTGTTAGCCAATCGCAAAGGTCTTTGTCATTCAAAGCATTTGAATTTTGACATATGTACATTAAATTTTAAATAATAAAGTTTTTACAATTTCATGCGGATAAAACCGCACAGGAACAACTAGTGTTTACATACTGTTGTGTGTCGACGGTATTCAACAAATAATTTCTTTTTTCTAGGAATTAATCAAAATGGCGGGCGTTTCCAGTAATATGTTGGCATTATCCCACTTCCTGAACGTGGTGCCGGTGGGCGTGGTGTACTGTATGGTGAATGCCGTGCTGCTCACTGCCTCATCCAATCCAGTGCTGCTCTCCAGTACTGGCTTGATCTGCCTGATGCTGGCGCTGCATTTCGTCAGTGTGATAGCTATGGCCTTTGCTTGCAGTTATCTCGTCAAGAATAGTAAGTTTTGTCTTTATTTGAATTTAGAAAAAAGGGGCGTGTCGTTAGCGTTACAGGGCGTGGTACCATCCGAGATGTAATTAACTTTGGATAAGTAAGATATATGACAAACTAGTTTTTGAATGCGACTGTTAGCCATTGTAGTGTATACATGGAGATACATAGTCACAAATTTTATTGAAATGTAAAAAATCCGTGTGGTATTAAAAAAAGCCTATGTGTGTCTAGACTATGTTCTACATCTATGCCAAATTTCATCCAGATCAGTTCAGCCGTTTAAGCTACAAACTAAAATCCATCCATCTAAATTTTTACATTTATAATATTAGTAGGATTACCATCAAGTTATGCCTTACACTTGAAGTGAGTTAAATTCACTTATATAGCTTTCCCCCCCTCCATTTGTCAGTTCATTGACCGACTTCCCAAAAGAAAGATACTGTTGATGTTCAAAACTGATTCTACTGATTTTACTAGTGGACTGTATTTAAATAAAAGCTGGTTCCGGTACAAACAATATATTAAGAAC